ACCACTGTCCAAACGGAAAAAGCAAGACTGCATCTTCCTCAGAAAGTGGATAGATGCATCCGTTACCATTCGTAGTAATAGATGCATCTTGCCCCTCTCTGCGGGCACATGCACTTTTACTTTTCCCGTTTCCACACTGGCGTGGCCAGGGCCTAAGTGAAATCCAGCCATCGATATCATATGTTGTCCCCCTATCTTTCTTTGCACTTGTGCTTGTTTCTCTGGCTATTTTCCTTCTTTAATTAAACCTTTCAGCTTAAAAACAAACAAACAAACAAGCAAACAAGCAAGCATGCAAAAAACATATGCACAGCCCAGATATACAATCTCCTGATCATGAATAACAGATGAGGTACTGGCCAGATAGTTTTTTTTTCCTGTTTATTATTGGGTAGTTCCCAACTTCCCATTACTATAATGACAATAAAAAAGGCCTGAAAGGCCGTCCTGTCCAGATTTGACAGGTAATTGAATTGGTTGGACTTAAAGAATTCGCCTTTTTAAAACAAAAAAAAAAAACAAAAAAAAAAACTTGCTGTTTTAACTTGTTTACCCTTTTTTTTTTTTTTTTTTAAGAAAAAAACACCCACCAAGTTCGCTAGGAGTGATGGTATGACCCATCACCCCTAGCAACTTGGTTCGTGGCTCCAATCGATTGGTGGGGAGCAGCACCTGCTGGAAAGCGGGTCCAGCGTCCCTCATACAATGGAAATAATGTCTTGCTGAAGAATATAATCATGTGACAAGTGAGCTGAGACCTGCCTCTTCAGTCCGCTGAGGACCTCCAGATATAACCATACATTTCTAGCCTGCCTATGCTCAGGGAATAGTTCCAATAGCAATCATTGTTGATTTATGACTTAGGCTGCATGTCCAAACCATTGGTTGTCTACTATTGCCTTGGCTGAAGGCAGAGAATAAATCTGAGAAGTCCTCTGGGCACCTCAAATGATTGCCTTGTTGAATTACCATCTAACACCCCCCAATCTGGATTTTAAACAAATCAGGAAACTGCACCCAGTGCCTTTTTTTTTCTTTTTCTTTTTGACAGAGATACCATCCCACCTACTGGAGGGACTTAAGCCTCTTCACCTTCTTGTGGGCGCCAGATTCCTCTCATATACACTAGCTTGTATCTCTCCTTACACAGTTTGGGAATTAACACTGAGAATCAAAAACAAACCTACAGAACCCTTATTCCTTCCCGAACCATGACCATGGAACTATAACATCGAAGAATTCACTACACGACGTACACGTTCAGTTACAACCGAAGATTGATGATTTATATATATGCCTACGGTTTACCGGGCAGTTCTATTTGACGATATATATATATATATATATATATATATATATATATATATATATATATCGTCA